ATAGATAAATGTATTCTTCTATTGAATACACTCTGCTATCTAAATACATGAAATTCTTTGGTCTCAAACACTTTCTATACACATGAATAAATTGTGTCTTGATAAATTATCAAGGCAATCGGATTACTACCGTAAAACTAATCTATTGTGTTTTGTGAGTAGATACACAGAGCTGATAAAATGGGCCACAGAAAAAACAATGAATATATTCCTGCTTGATTATATTACTCCTCTTACTTATCTCTTTCCCCAAAAAACGTAGTTTGTATCTGACCATTTCAAAACCCACAGAAGAAAAGCAATAAATTTAAAAAGTTAGCATAATATTCACAAAACTACAAGTTTTATTTGAATTTTTAACTCAATCATAATTCATAATCTGTCATAAATAGAAAGAAGGCAATATAACATATTTATATGAGAATAAGAGAGGAAACTTTTTATGAAATCATTGACATGATTGTTTTGTGGAGAGAAATAACCGTTTCGTTAGATGGACACTTATTCCCCGCTTAGATTAATCTCTTCCTGTGCTTCAGTGGACTGTATTTTCTGATGGTCTGTTGACGGTGGTTTACTTCGTGGAGTTGTTAATTCTTTTTTTAAAATAAAACGCAAAAAACAAACAAACATGGCGTTTACGCATTGCATATCATAGATAAATTTTAAAGGAGACCAAATTGTGAGTAGTAAAGCTCAAAATGATATCATATGTTATCTTTAGCTTCGCATTAGCTGCGAAAAGTTTGAAATTTACAAGGATAGATAAGTGGCTACACACATATAACTCATGTCAAGTGTGTTTTGGGAGAGCAGGGAATTCTGTGATCACAGTGAGTCGTTTAGTTGCAGAGATATAGAAGGTGAAATATTTCAAATTACTGTCAAGAGCCACAAAACCTTTTATAGTATTAGACTTTTAAACTAAGCAGCTTACACAAATGAAGACTTAAGAAATGTAAATTGAAGAAGAGAAAAGTCCATGACAGAGAAATGATATTAAAAGTTGAGATAAACATTCACGTGAAGATATCTTAGAGGTACTGCAGTTTCTATTCCTTAAATTAAAAGCCATGAATAGTAAGAATATGATTTAGTACAATGGGAAAGTTTTAACGGGAGAATAAATTACAGAAGAAGGTATCTATTTTCTACAAAAGGCTTATCATCAGATATGTTTAACAGTTTTAAGAGGAAGTCAGTTTATGTATGTAAGGTGGTAACTGTGTGATAATCAATACAAGGGTCCGTTGAGGAAAAATATCAATCAGTAATGAAATGTAGTCAATCAAATATGTGGTATGACATTTCGCACACAGCTGATTTCAGGAGATTAATATATTCCTATGAATTAACAGCTTACTGATGAAGCCTTCGATTTCACCAATGAACAAAGCAGATTTAAGACTCTTTTACAGGCAAACTTCTGTTAGGTTAAAAGAAGTACTGCTTCTCGTTGTTATTGTTGCAGCACTGGGTGACGCAGGTTCGAATCTCAGAACTGACATGAGTTCCTTCAAGGTTGCAGATATGCCTTGCTGACGAGTGCCAACTAGCAAGAAACCTAGGTCCAAGGCTTCCTGCCGATTGCCTCCTACCATCTAATATCATCAAATCAATGTGTACCGTGATGGCGAGCCACCTAGTGGAACGGTGGCCACATTGCAAACCTGACCGATAGAATTCAATCTGCACCAAAGAAAGGACTAGACACATCACACTAGTTACCAGTATCCAATCAAAGTAGAATTAGCTATGTTGGTTTGCAGAGCATAACAATAAGAAGACGGTGTCTTAGACATTAGTGTCTCTGGTATAAGATTCTTAAACTACATGTCCTTCTATTTGGAGTTAATCGAAATACACTTGGTAAATTGTCTGCTGAACAGGACAGCAAAAGCTGACTAGTAAGCCAGAAAACAGAAGATAAAACATAAAACGTATTAGAATGACCTTCTTTTTGAATTCTCTTACAAACGTGATCAGAAACTCCTGAAAACTAAGGAAATTAAGGTAAGAAGCGTTGTGGCAGACACTTATTTTATCTCTGTCAGGAAGTGAGAATTAAGTATTTTCATGCTGCCACAAAATAGAGAAGACAACTAAACACCGCTAACTAAATTTTTAACAGGACTAAGACAGGTTTCCAACTTGGGAATCCCCTGAGGCAAAGAATCCCGTAAAGCCTATTAAATACATAATATAGTTCGACAAATTCCAAGTAATGATTATGCGGTCAGAGACACAGATCGAAATACTGCATAGGAGTTGGTTAAGTAACACAAGAAAGAAATTTTTAACTATTTCTATGGTAATAGTCCCTAGTAAAAGGAGTAATGTAAAAGAAGACTCAGCAACACCATTACATGTAGTCAGACAGAATCATATAATAAGATGGAACAAAACAAAAGTCGTGTAGGCTTTCTCGATTAAGTGCAAAGATCAAAGCGTGTTTTTTCACAATCCTAATAGGATAAATTCAATGGAAATTATCTGACCTGTAGTTTAGATATCTAAAGTAATCTACAACACCTACAGCCAGTAAAAAAGAAATTAGGAATATAGTATGAAGTTTTCAAAGTTGCGAAGATACATTTGGAAGTATCAATGAATCGCATATAAAATTTCAGCCGGTTAATGACATTCTTTCACCGCGTAATTTATCCCATAAACATTTTCTAGGTACGCTGTATTCACCATTGTTGGTAAATTCATGTGTAGATGAATTCTTTTATTGAAATCGGTCATCGGATTGCATGAAATAATATAACTGTTGTGTAGCTTACTGTTTCCTTTTCCTTACCTGACTAAAAATATTACGAAATCCAACTAGGCTATACGATGGATTCAAGATATGCTTAATCGTCTTGTTTATTTCAGATGAACATTACCTTGAAATGAAGCTACAAAGTGTGGTATTGACTTTGTGCCTCTATTTTCGTAATATTACTGAACCTACTCATGAGTAGGAATTCGTTTTCACAATACATTTTTTGCAGTATTTAGATATATCACATTCACCGTTGGTTCGGAAGGAATTGAGCTGTAATTCCGGATACATAACTCTGTAAATTTATTGACTAACCGATATTTCAATAGATGCATTTGTAAATTCATATAAATTACTTAGCAATAATGGCAGAAACAAACTTTATTTGATTTTATAATGGTTAATTTTGTAAACAGTTACGACTGAAATCAAGATACTAGTCATGCATTGAGATGATTTTCACGAAACATTTTTTATGTACACCTTCTAGTAACGGCTTAGAGAAAATGTTCAGTGTTTTTGTAACAGTATAGTCTCAAATGAATTCTGAAAACAGAATAAATATCTCACCAACAACTACCTAACATGAAAATAGAGTATTTATACAAACCTTTGTTAATTTAAATCAACGAGAGAAGACAAAATGCACTGAAGTAAGTCTCACCTTCTGAGCCCACATTCTCTTCGGTATCAGTGAATGCATCTGTATCAATCTCTCTACCAGTGCTTTGTAGTTCATCGATAACCTCTAAGATAGCCTTTTCAGCATCACGAGCTTTAAGTTCCTATTTGACATGAGATAAGAAATATGAAAAAGAGAAGGTATTCAGCGAAGAGACTCTTTTCGGCGAATTCATTCACATAGCTGTACAATCGCATTTATATATAAATATTTGTGTGTGTGTGTACATGAGGTTTGTCAAGTTTAGATAATTGATTAGTTAATACAAGAATGATGTAGTATAGAGACAAAGTTAATCAGACAGCAACTAAAGTAAGACTGAGTATAAAAAACTAGATGACGTAATATAATTAGCTAAAATGTTACAACTTAGGTCAGGATAGCAACAGAGGTAGTTACAGGTAGAGATTAAGTAGAAGTGAAATTGAGTGAATAAGTTGGATGACGTAACATGAATGACTAAAAACTGAGAGTTGTTCAAGTCAGTAACATTGGTAGTGAGGTGTAGAGATTGAATCGGGTGGGGGTAGAGAACAAGAAAGTTGAAAATGTAAAATGTTACAATTGAGAAGACAAAATAATACTAATGAAGAGACAGAAGAAAAGATTAGGTAGAATTTACATGTCGGATAATAAGATAAGAAATAATAAAAACTTTGAAACATGAACTTTCGATCAAGGCACAACTGTCATAAAAATAATTAGTAAGTGCATATTTTAGTCTATTGATAGGAGAATAAAGAAAAATGAGGATACACCTATACTGATATTATTATTAGGTTCATTCATTCAAATGCCTAAAATAGTAAAATGTGATTTGTAGCTAATAAGGAAGCCTAACATATACTTCCGATGAGGTTTAGACAAGACACTAGTTTTATGAAACCTATTTCTATGCATCGTTAATTACAAAACGGTACTCATAGCTTTAAAATAAATCTACTCATCATCTCAATAAGCTGTTTGACACGGAAGTTTCTTTGACTTTTGGAACCTAAATGAATTTGTTTTCACTTCGAATGACTAAGAGCATTACATTACTTCACCTTCCAAAACAGTTTTACTGTGCTCCCTAAACAGTAGGCATTCCTAAAAACTAAGTTGAGTAATAGTTTAGTCAGATGCAGGAAATCTGATACAAGCGGTTTATGTCGGTTTATCTTCACATTCTCAGTACTGTGTGAAGTGTAGTGCATAATTCAAGGGTTAATAAGGCATGTTTTACTTATATGTAAATACCACATGTCTATACTGACCATGTTAGACAAAGAATGGAAGGAACTGGCGTTGAAAAAGGAACATTTAATATATGTCTCAAAGTCACTAACTATACACTGCAACTATGCAATTTCTATAAATGAGTTTATTTTATTATTCTTAATTTCATTTAATAAATCTCCCTCTGTCATTTTGATGTTCGGTGTAGTAACTTTAAATTATAAACAGCCACTTGGGATGTGTTTCTTTTTTCACTTTAGTGAATGTGTGAGTACTGTACTATCTCCATGTGTACTTACTTTAGCTAAATCATAGGCTTTGTTAAAAGCTTCTTGAGCTTCAGTACGCTTTTTTAATTGTAGATTTGACTGCCCAATCAAAACATTGATATTTAATTGCCATGGTTTATCCTCCATAGCATTTGCTATATGCATTGCTTTCTCACCATATTCAAAAGATTTTTGCGGTTTTTGTAATTCTAAATAACATCGACCTAATTCATAACAGAGCCAAACTTTATCTAAATCATCGGTGCACTTCTCAAGTTTCTCTTCCCATCTGAAAAAAAGATAAAGTTCGGAGGATTATATTTCATTTTTGAAATTTAAACAAAAAGTAGTATCGTCATACTCCATTTTTATTCAGTGAATTTGCCTGCTTCAACATACTAATCTAATTTGTAGGTGTGTTCTTAGTTAATCTTGGTTGCAGTTTGTTATCCTTGGAGGTTTAATTACTACTTCATCTTCTTCCATTGGTAGTACTAGTGATTACGATGAAATCATGACGGGAAAACTTAAATCATTCGGCCATCAGAAGTACATTAATTTAGTACAAGGAAAATATTTCCATCTGTTTACTAAATTCTTTAGTATCTTCAACGAATATTTCAGTGAATGTTTACATTCATCTTAACGGCGAAAAGCTGGCACACTTTATTAGTTTGTCCACTGTAACTGTTGTCGAATTGACTGAAAGTTTGTCACGATAACTGGTCACTAATCTGATGAATGAGTTTTTTAAAATCCTTCTTTTCATCTCTCTTAATCTTTACCCAAATATTAATCAAAAATGTCATTCTAGTAAAAGAAAGAATTCTGGTAACTTTTCTGTTTACCAGTCTTTATCTAGGCTGTGACTGACATTACCAGGTAGCGGTGCATTTAAAAATTAAATGTATGCCAAACGCCCTAGAGCTAATTTATATTTATTTCGTGGGACTTTTATTGATCCACAGCAATATTTAGAAATTTCTCAGAGAAAATAGTACACATAAATAAATATCTTTAGTGCTTTTGCGGTGGTCTATTTACAGATAGGTAAAAAGTAGTACATCAGTTGTGCTTCCGGGGGAGAAATGATAATTTGTGTGTCAATGGTCAAAGCAATGAAGGAAAAGCACTTAGCAAAAGTGACAACACTGAGAAAAATCTAATAGGACACATACAAGGAAGATATTATGAGTAATTACAAATAGTAATATCAGTGTAAAGATTACGTTTTTCTAGACATACGTTGTATTTGTTCTGCTAAAATACCATCACTAGTCTTGTTTACTTGAAACTTATCAGTTCAGTTACTATTCCAGGACTAGAAACTTTCTAAATGGGAGAGATATCAGTTCCAGTCAAAGTATCTATGAAATTCCCCGACATAAATATGGATACAAAATGTACAAATTCCAATAACTTTTACTCTAATTTTACGAGTTGATCACGAATCGATATCAGCTAGAAAACTATTGAAAACCAACACCGGAATACTGGACAGCTGTTTCGTCCTAGTTTGGGAATCATCGGCAATACGCGCTCACCGGGGTTTGAACTCAAGACCTTCCGGTTATAGGGCGACCACGTATACCGTTCAGCCACTGGCACCCAACCCAATGGCCCGTGAATTCTAACTGCTACCAATTCGTGATTTAGTGCGACCGTCAACCAATGAACTCCAGTGAGTGCGTACTACCGATGGTTCCCAAACTAGGATGAAACAGCTGTCCAGTACTCCGGTGCTGGTTTTCAATGGTTCTCTAACTGATATCAATCCGTGATCAACTCGTAAAAACAAAACTAATCCTTAGAAACCAACTATAGAAAATTCTTTCTAATTAATAAATTTTCTAAGGGTTTGATTCACTTACACTTTTACAGCTGAATCATAATCACCTGATTTTGCATAAACACGTCCCATATTATCCATTGAATTTGAAATAATCTCTGGTAAATTGATTTTCTCTCCAAGATCATAAGCAGCTTGATAGGCTTTTAATGCTTCTGAATAGTTTCCTAATTCTAAGTTGGATAATCCAAGTAGTGAATTAATATTGGCTAAAATTTCATGATAATTTGGAATTTGTGTTTCATCACAGGCTCTAACTTCATTTAATAGATGATGAGCGTGTTTCACTGCTAAGCTATGTTCATGTTTGCGTTGTACTGAAGATTAAAATAAATTATAGTCAGAAATTATATTTGATATGGTATAAAATTCGTTTTGTGGTACATGAGTGAAATTTTTTGTGTGAAGAAAATATCTGCGACAAGGTGTTTAGCCCACACCATCTCGTTGGTTGTCTCCAACGTGGACATGAATATATGACATTCTATAGGCTGTGATTTCAGAAAATGATCTTAAAACATGTAATATACAAAGAGGTCACGGAAGTTCTATTGTTATGGTTATTCGTTTATTCTTGATGTGCGAAAAATGTCTAACTAGTGAATACTTAGCTTTATTCAAAGGTTTCAAGGTGAACAGATATACTATAATATAAAACTGAAGAACAAAGGTTCATCGTGTATTAATTCAGGTCGTCACACTTCATATTTCAAACGGGATAGAAAAATTGGGGAAGACATTCTGAAGAAAAAATAGAGTTCCAGTATTAATGGTGTCATCATTTGTAGATAAAAAGCAGAAGTAAAAATGCCGTTAGACTTGTCAATGAACTGTAATATTGGTGGTGTTAATTCAAGCATCATTAGATTTGAAGAACACCCACAATCCATGATGTTCCTGGCTATTAATAGAAGCGTTTCAGATAAGCGTAGGCTATTCACCCAAATTATCAGAAGGCAAGGAACCATCTAGTTTACATTTATCACACCACTGGATGCAGATTAACGCTTCTTCAACACACTCATACGTATCTCACCAATTTAATAAGGCAGTGTGTTTATAATCCTGAAATTATTTACTTTTCATTTATTTCTGTTGTTGTAAATCTTTCCGTAACGTTATTCAAAACAGTAGACCTGTTCATGCTTGAATATAGTCTTACGGCATTGTTTTCTTTCGTAAGTTTTCAAGACTTTCTGAATAAATAATGCTTGTCTAACACCTGACAGATTAAAAAGCATCCACCTACCTCGATTGTGTAGTCAGTCAATTAAGGTCTGCTTGCAACCTACAATTTATGCTGCTAATGACTAACATAATCCTGAAATATGTTAAACCTATGTATCCGCATATAGAAGAAGTTTAGAACAGTTAATTAACACGTTTTGAGTTGTGTTTTTTTGTAGTAAAATGGACTTCACAGAATTTCTCAACCTCCAATATCCGGAATTTCGAAACTAATTTGTTTTAAATATAGTAATTGTTTCAGAAACATTTTTAGATAGCTGATATTTTGTCACATTTCAGAAATACATTTGAACCGGTACACCTTACTGCTCCTTCATGGCACCTTTACACCTAAAAATGTACAACTGGAATGCAGATGTGAAATATTTTCAAACGTGTACGATATACTACTAATTAGTAGTTCAAATTACGACACAAAATATCGAATGAGTGCATAAGCGCTTCCTCAATGATTCATTGGCTGGCTGCTGCTTGGTAATAATTTTTCTGTGTTACCTGAATGTGAGTGTGACTAGGGTTTCCTCTTATTAATGGTTTTCATATGAACAAAAAGTGCACCATTAGCACTTGTCACGTAACAAAGATAGATGAGAAATTATGCAAAAATAGTATGGTACATGGACAGATTTTGAAACTCGCATAGTCGTCATAATCACGCAAGTGAAATAGAACTATAGTAATCATCGCAAAACTGGGACATTTTAAAAGTTAATGTTTGACTTTACCCTTTATGGACTTCATTTTGACGGAAATATGTCAAAAAATTTCCAGAAATAATTACAGTTGACAAAGAAAAATGAGAAATACCCTTTTCACAGATTTGATATCTTTTGGATTTCTTTCTAACACATAGTTGTTTCTCATGTACTCAGGACATTTATTCAGCAGTATGAATAAACCAAGAAAGCGGGAAAAATATGAAATAAACTTCGAATTCCTCAGAGTAAAGTCTCTATTGAAACCATCTGAGATCAAATTATATTTTATTAACAAACAAAGTTTCCTCAAGTATTGGTTGTAGGGATTCTGTTTGATTGGTTGGAGGATTTCATCACGAACTGATATAGGCTAGAGAACCATCAGAAAATCTGGGAGTACTGGACAGCTGTTTCATCCCAGCCTGTGCCTCCTTAGCGGCACGCACTCACCGGGGTCTGAACCTATGACTTTCTGGTTAAAGGCGAGCTCGTAGACCACTAACCAACTGGGCCCAGTCCAGTGGTAAGCCCATGAATTCTAACTTCTGCCAACTCACTACTGCATTGAAAAAAGACAGCAAAATAAAACATGGCTAATCAGAACAACAAATTTAAACAACTGTTTAATGAGAAGTTATTTTTCAGCAGAGAAACTGTAATAATTCGGTTTTTATGTTGTTGTCTAACATAACACTATAGGATTAGGAATATTAAATATAGAGTAAGAAGTGTAGTGAAATCTAACGACACAATAATTCTTTTCAACATTTAAATGCAGTATAAAATTTAACTAATTCACTCGTCGTGTAACAGTTCTAATAAACATAGTGGATGGAAGTGATGAGTACACAATTGATTTCATAGAGGAATAATCATAGTTTTAACAAAAACATTTGACATGACATATTAATTTAACTTACAATTGTCGATTTTGTGCAATTTGTCTAAAACACTCTTAACTCCTGGAAATTTCGATCTTTTTGAAAATTGAGAGTTCGCTAGCAGTTTTATTCGTCTAGCCTTAGTTCGAGCATAAACAGGTTTCTCTTGATGCCAGAATTTGTATCTTTCATCCAAATATGCGATGCCATCACGAGCTAGATTCCGTACTTCTTCAGAATTGGCTGTTTTCCATTTATGTGCCGCTAAAAATATAGAACAATCAATTATACCATATGTTAAGTGGGATAGTGTCGTTTTAGCTGGTTTTAGCAGCTTTCTATCCTATAGCATAATCACTTTCAGGATTTGTACCAAGAAGGATATTTGACACTATTTCATTGTACTTTCATGCTAGTCTCGAATATCACTTTCAGAAATATCCCTAATAAATAAAACTTTGATTTTACATAATTCATACGGCTAATTTATTGAAAATAATCAATTGGCAGTAATGGTACTGTTATTCCGTAGGGATATAATGCATTCATTAAACAACTTTTCATGTTGTAACGACAGAAGACAATGGCCAGGCAACAGATTGTTTATTGGGGAAATCAAGAGATATTTATGCATTTTTATGTATATTATTACTCGTTATTATTAGCAGAGAAACAGCGTCTTCTGATTGATTGTTTTCACGGTGAAAGTTATTCTGTCATCCCTTTGTGGCCGTGTCTCTGAAGGTGAAGCTCCTTGATCATTCATTCGATATCATAGAATCCAATGGCCCATTAATTCTTACTTCTGCCATTTCGCGACACAGAGCACCACCGCCAGTCAATGTCATCGGTGAGTATCTGTCCTCACACTTAACTTAGTGGACCCCGCTAGTTACGACTTTCCACTAGAGCTTCAGGTAACTAAATGCAGTAGTCAGTCACTAATGAGTGCTAGATTAATTTTCAAGTGTTGGTGATCAGTGAGTGTGCTCTGGTGAAGACAGTACAGATGTCCAGTAGTCACTAATTTTCAAACGTTCTATAAGTGAAGTCATTTCGTGGTCAATTAAATCTCTGAAAACCAACATTTGAGAATATTCTGAGTTCTTGAGCAGATTTCATCTTCAATACTATATTGTTGTGTTATATATCTGCTTACTTATATAAATCAATTATAGAATGATGCTCAGTTTGACCTTTAGAAATTATAACTTACTTCCATCAAATACCTACTAGTTGAACTAATGTAAAGTTAAATAACTATGGATAATATAAGACTATTTTTTTATTCCTTCACGTTCTCAATGGAACATAGGGCTTCAAGCTAGAGGCTTGAAGTTTCTGTAGAAGCGTTTATTTTTACAGGATGGAGTTGCTAGCCTCATGCCCAACCTTCTCTGTTTGGCAGTTCTATTACTGGCTTAGCGA